ATTCTAACATTTTCCTTAGAGTTATAACTTGCAAAAAAAAAAAACCTTGATTCGTAAAAACCCCTGCCACCCCTCTAACTACTATGGGAAAAAAAATGAACCAGCAGGGGGTAAAATAATGTAGTTTCAGGATATTTTATTAGACATCTCAGTATGTGGAAAAGGAATACCTTCAAATCACTGTAGTTTTATTGAGTTATTTAATAAGAAAATCTTCAGCATATAAGTTTCTTTTAAAATGTTCAGCAAAATTTCATCTAGAGTAAATGATTAGTGCAGTTACTATGTAATTAATGATCACACAAGGTGTTAAGAATGTACTAATTGTCACAGATAGAATCTTAACTGTGTAGGGCATCTAGAAAATTTAAAGTCAATTACCACAACCCATGTGATTTTTAAATGCTTCAGTAGATTTCCAGGGGTGTAACAGTGATTAACAGTAATCTTTCTCCTTCAGTAGCCTTCAGTCTTCTCACACTCATTCCCTGCACTTATCCTTCTACACTCAGGCCCAACACTCATCCTCCTGCACTCATCCTTCCACACTCACCCTTCCTACACTCATCCTCCTACACTCATCCTCCTGCACTCATCCTCCTGCACTCATCCTTCCACACTCATCCTTCCTACACTCATCCTCCTACACTCATCCTCCTACACTCATCCTTCCTGCACTCATCCTCCTGCACTCATCCTCCTGCACTCATCCTTCCACACTCATCCTTCCTACACTCATCCTCCTACACTCATCCTCCTACACTCATCCTTCCTGCACTCATCCTCCTGCACTCATCCTCCTGCACTCATCCTTCCACACTCATCCTTCCTACACTCATCCTCCTGCAATCATCCTTCCACACTCATCCTTCCTGCACTCATCCTCCTACACTCATCCTCCTGCACTCATCCTCCTGCACTCATCCTTCTACACTCATCCTTCTACACTCATCCTTCCACACTCATCCTTCCGCACTCATCCTTCCTGCACTCATCCTCCTACACTCATCCTTCTACACTCATCCTTCCACACTCATCCTTCCACACTCATCCTTCCTGCACTCATCCTTCTACACTCATCCTCCTGCACTCATCCTTCCACACTCATCCTTCCTGCACTCATCCTCCTGCACTCATCCTTCCACAATCATCCTTACACACTCATCCTTCCTTCACTCATCCTTCTACACTCATCCTCCTGCACTCATCCTTCCACACTCATCCTTCCTGCACTCATCCTCCTGCACTCATCCTTCCACACTCATCCTTCCTGCACTCATACTCCTGCAGTCATCCTCCTGCACTCATCCTTCCACACTCATCCTCCTGCACTCATCCTTCCACACTCATCCTCCTGCACTCATCCTTCCACACTCATCCTCCTGCACTCATCCTTCCTGCACTCATCCTTCCACACTCATCCTTCCTGCACTCATCCTCCTGCACTCATCCTTCCACACTCATCCTTCCTGCACTCATACTCCTGCAGTCATCCTCCTGCACTCATCCTTCCACACTCATCCTCCTGCACTCATCCTTCCACACTCATCCTCCTGCACTCATCCTCCTGTACTCATCCTCTTGCACTCATCTTCCTGCACTCATCCTTCCACACTCATCCTTCCACACTCATGCCCCATGCTCATCCTTCCACACTCATGCTCATGGTAAATTAAGCAATTACCTAAACCTCTTAGGGGGCTGCATGTGCTTCCTGTAATTAAACACTTGAGTGGCATTTTGGATAACATGCAGCATATTACTAGTTCATTGCTTGCCTTTTCTTAAAGTCAGCTAATTTATATACCCAGTAGGTGGCCACTTTTAAGACGAGGAAGTATTAGTTTTGCACAGAAATCTCATTACTTAATTATATTCACAATATTTGCCATTGTGGTACTATAATGAAAGGATAAGGTAGCCCCCTGTACCCTAGAAATTTAGGCCATAATGCCCCACATTGTGTCTTGCCTTGTTTACAGTTGCTCTTATAATGTAAAACATCACCTTGTTTCTACTCCAAAGTGGAAAGGATTCAGCTGCTTCCCAAATTATCCCACATCTGGTCTCCAGTGGTTATTTCTTGGAACTTATTTGCTAAATGTTTTCTCGGTTACATTAAAGTACATGTAATTGTGCTGCTGTCTTTTTGTTAACTGTTGCAGCCTTAAGTGGAACATTGGTTCAATGAGCCAGTACCTTAACAGCTTCAGTACTCCCGGATTCTCTGGTAGCTAGCTGCTAGTGATACAAGGCAGCGGCAGAGATGATCCTTAAGTCTGAGTCATTCTTCAAACTCTACTGCAGATGCATAGCCTTTCAACTTTAAAACCCTAAATTTTGAATATTCCTTACTAAATATAAAACATATTTTATCATTCATGTGTGAATATGAATGCTTTGTGTTTATTTACCATTTATTTACCAAATCACCTTTCTTAGTTGAGTGAGAAATGGTCTTGAAGTGCCTTTACAGGAATGGTCTGAAAATGTGTCCTTAGGCAATTTGGTCCCTGTGCTACTACCCCAACGAAGACCTTCATAGCACATAAGTTGTTATAATCTTATGAGAACACTTGTATTTATGGTATGGAGTTGACCAGAGCATATTAATTTATTCTTTTCTCCTTTTTATTTTAAAAGAAGCAGTTTAAAAACAAAAGGAGAGATCCTTTTTCTACCTGTTAGTTCATGAAATTTCCTCGACTCTTCCCTTACTCCTAATTATTCTATATTATTGTATTTGATAAGTTGAAGGATCCATTTTAAGATTTATTGTTCTTTTCATGAATTATTGCCCAGTACTAGTTTATGTTGTTGGGGGAAGAAAACTGGTTGAATGAGGGTTTCATGTTCTGTGGTGACAAATCTCATTAAAGCAACAGTTGCTTGTAGGTAATCT